TGTTTCTTTCTGTCTTAGGACATTCTATTATTTCAAAGATTTTATCTAAGATACTCTATTGCAGAATCACATGTTCAGAAACCACAAGAAATTAAGGAGTTCGTAACATTTGCTACATGTGGATAATATTAAAGACAAAGAGATTTCTACTTTTATATGAGTCCCTAAAATCCTTTATGTGGTATATTATCATTATTAGCAGCCAGTGATAGAATGGGTTGTAAAGAGATAAAGACATACATACCAGTATGCATACATAGGGATGATATATGATCAAGTGGAACATGAGGGAAAACTATGTAGTCTGTCACCTATCTATATACAAATATACAGAAATATATAGACTTATACTAAAACTAAAATGAAGGAAATGTGAAAATACAGCACATAAAAAGATGATAATGCACATTGAATAACTTTTTAACTCAATAGGAAAATCCAGAAGAAATGGAAGAATTTCTAGGTTCATTTGAAATAATTAACACCTATACCCCTCACAATTCTAGCAGAGGCTCACAATAGCACCATAGGTATGTTTATATGGCCATATAAAATGATGGTGATCAAAATGATCTCTATAATGTGGAAGACAAGAGTATTTGTTTTGTTGTTTTGTTTCTTTGTTTTATAGTGCTCTGTTTGTAATTAGTTCTTTTTTTGATGGTTGTGGGGCTTGAATTCAGCCTGGGCACTGTGCAGTTTTATTGGTGGTTAATTGGAGACAAGAATCTCATGGACTTAAGTTCAAGGTATATTTTAGATATGAGACCCTTGTCTGTTGTATGGTTAGTGAAGATCTTCTCCCAATCCGTGAGCATTCTATTGGTCTTGCTAGCCATGCAGAAGCTCTGCAGCTTCATGCAATCCCATTTGTCCAACCTTTCTTTGATTTGTTGTGTTTCTGTTTCTGTATTAAGAAAATTTTGGCCTGTGCCAAGAAGACCTAGGGTTTCTCCTATTCTATCCTGCAATGTTTTCAAAGTGTCTGTTTTGACTCCGAAGTCTTTGATCCATTTGGGGTTGATTTTGGTGCAGGATGATATATAAGGATATAGCTTTAGTTTTCTACAAGTAGTTAACCAATTTTGCCAGCACCATTTACTGAAGAGGCTGTCATTCTTCCATTCTATTTTTTTAGCTCCCTTATCAAGAATTAGATGGCTATAGGTCTTTAGGTTCATTTCTGGGTTTTCAACTCTATTCCATTGGTCCGGGGGTTTGTTCTTGTGCCAGTTCCAAGCAGTTTTGATTACTATGGCTTTGTAGTAAAGTTTGAAATTTGGTATTGATATTCTTCCAGCACTATTCTTTCTTTTAAGGATGACTTTTGCTATTCGGGGTCATTTATTATTCCATATGAATTTTTGAATTTCCTCTTATATTTCCTTGAAGAATGAGGGTGGCACAACCTGAAATTTTCTTAATAGAGACCCAGAAACACAAGAAATCAAAGAAAGGTTGGACAAATGGGATTGCATGAAGTTGCATAGCTTCTGTATGACAAAGGACATAGTTCCCAAGATCATTAGAAAACCCACGGATTGGGAGAAGATCTTCACTAGCCATACAACAGACAAGGGTCTCATATGTAAAATATACCTGGAACTTTAAAAGTTAAATCCCCCAAAACAAATCTTGAAAGAAACAACTGCCCAATAAATAAGTGGGCTAAAGACTGAAAGAGAAACTTCTCTGAAGAGGAAAGAAGGATGACCAGTAGACACATGTTGAAATGCTCAACCTCCCTAACCATAAAAGAAATGCAAATCAAAACAACATTGAGATATCACCTCACCCCAGTTAGAGTTTCTATAATCAAGAACTCTAATAACAACAGATGGTGGAGGGAATGTGGACAGAAGGGAACCTTACTGCATTGTTGGTAGGAGTGTAAACTTGTTCAACCACTCTAGAAAGCAGTATGGAGGTTCCTCAAAAGACTCCACATAGAGCTCCCCTAAGACCCAGCAATTCCACTTTGGGGCATTTAACCAAATGATCACAAACAAGACCACACTAAAGCTACCAGCAAGACTATGTTTATTGCAGCACTATTTACTATAGCTAAGATATGGAACCAACCCAGATGCCCCTCAGTAGATGAATGGATCAAGAAAATGTGGTATATATAAACAATGGAATTCTATGCTTGCATGAGAAAGAATGACATTGCCCCATTTGTTAGGAAATGGAAAGACTTGGAAAAATTATAGTAAGTGAAGTAAGCCAGGCCCAAAGAAACATATGTCCCATGGTTTCCCTTATTTGTAATAACAAGTAAATGTCTGAGTCCAGCAGAAAAGGTTGAAAGACCCCAGCCTGTGCTTGCCCATTAGGTACCCCAAGGAAAATTGCTGCCCCTTACCCTGCATACCTAAGGGGGTGGTGGGGCAGGATAAGTGCAGGCCGCTAACCAGGAAACGAAACCTCGAGCCTCTGAGTCACCGCCTGCAGACCCTAGCCTGACCCTAGTACATGCCTTAAAACCAGGCATTCCGGTAAAATAGCCGACCCACCCGTCCCTTCCTGTAAAACTTAACCCTAATGGCAGGGTAGGGCAGGATGTAATAAATCACTTGTCAAAATTAGGGAAGAAGAAGTTTCGGGGCATTCCGACCAGAACCGGCATGTCAGGGCAAGTACCGACATGTCAGCTCTTCCCCAACCCCACCTACCCCATCTGGCCAGCTTAACCTGACCAATCATCACCCTACGCGTAATTCAAAATTAACCAATCAACCCCCTGTAACCACGCATCTCGCTTCTGTAACCTCGCTTCTGCTGCCCATAAAAAGAGGGTGCTTTCAGGCACTGGGCGCGCAAGTCTTCCGACAGACTTTGTCGCCCCGGGTACCCGTGTAACCGGTTCTCAGACACTTGACTCGAACCTTGTGGATCTCGTGGTTGAGTGCACCTGGGAGCCGAGGCATGCCCGAATAAACCTCTTGCTGATTGCATCCGCACAAGTGGTCTCGTTGTTCCTTGGGGAAGGGTCTCTTCAGACTGAAGGACACCCCACGCCGTCGGGGGTCTTTCAAGGTCAGATAAGTTGATGTTAGGGAAATGAATCCCAAGATAAGTATTCAAATGTTTTTTGTTTGTTTCTTTTTTTCCTTTCTTGCAATTGTTTCTAACATATTTATAAGATGATTTCTTTGTTGCTTTGTATGTCCCTCCCCCACGGTATAACCCCTGCTTTCAATGTATTTGATGTTGGTATAATTTGTGAAGGGGAAGGGAACAAACAAATCGTTTAAAATACAGGTGGACCCATTGCAACAATGAGATGTACAAGTTGTTATGTTACAACTTTGGTGGAAGGTGGGGGAAGGGTTAGGTGGTGGTGAGAGGGGTGTTTGGGACGGGATGTGAAGGGGCAACAATGCCTGATAAGAAATGTACTCGTTTCTTGCCCATGTAATTCTAACTCCTCTGTATGGTATTCTCACAATAAAAAAATAAAATAAAATAAAGTAAAATTTAAAAAAAGAATCCTGGTGAAAGTGTCATCTTAGTCAAGTGTGATTACACTTTCGAAGTAAAATAGGAAATAGAAACTTTCACATGGGGGACATGACCCCTCTAAAAGCATGGTCCCAGCTGCCTATGTACCATGAAAGCCTAGAATAGAGCTCCCCAGTTTCTAGCTGTTATTGATAAAGATCCAGTATTTCCCATGCTTTCCCAGGGTTTAGAAGGTCAAGATTTGGATATTTCTCCCTGTGGGTATTGTTTGTCAACTAGTGGCAACTTTGTGACAAATCAACAGGTAAGCTTTTCATTTGGAGTTTTGGCTTGGCTATATTATATTAAATGATTACCTCAAAGAGTTCTGCAAGAAAGTCCCAGTATTTTCCTATGTGAAATTATGCTATTTTATTTATTTTACCACTTGCTTAATTGTAATTTATGTATATTAATAACATGCAGTGATTTCTTGATAATTCTCTACCTGAATGCAGTGTACTTTGAAATTTTTCACTAAACACTTTATATTTCCATTGTCTTTTCCTGTTTAACACATACCATTTTTCTGATGGTAGGTAATAGACTCCATTATTCAAAAGTGTATTTGTGTATGTATTACTGAGTTTTATTGTCACTACTACTTAATTATTATTATTATAGCATCATCATCACCATCATCATCATCATAATTTAGGTGGGTCTTTGGACAATTTGCTTTGGGATCCCTACCTATATCACTCAACATGATGTCTAGTACCATTCATTTTTCAGCATATTATAGATTTCCTTCCCCTCTGTTCTTGCCCCTGATCTAGGGAATTACCAGCCTCAGGATTTTACTAAAATACCTTCTTTGTCCATCATAGTCCTTGAACCCTGAGCTATTTTGCTCAAGGTTAGCACTCTACCACATTGAGCCCCAGCTCCACTTCTGGTTTTCTGGTAGTTAACTGGAAATAAGTGTCTCAAAGACTTTCCTGCCCAAGCTGGCTTTGAACTGAGATGCTTAGATCTCAGCTTCATAAGTAGTTAGGATTGAGCCACCAGTACCCAGTATGAGGCACCAGTACTCAGCAATACCTCATTTTAAAGAGTGAACTGAGGAGTGCTAATATGTTAAGACAAAGTCAAGCTGAGCCTTCATCTCAGACTTAGAAGGGAAAACACTATGCAAGTCAGGAAGTGCTTGCAGCAGTTTAAGAGGAGGAAAGAGAAGGCAAACGTCTCTCTTGTGACCAAGTGGAAATCATATCCACCTGAATACCAAATCACAGATGCTCTGAAATACAGACTTGTGTTATTTATAAGACAACAGAAACCTTGTCTGGTTGGTGCCCCTGAGGCTGAGAAGGAAGAAAGAATAAATTGAGAGGATTGTCACTGACCACCTGGACCAAACCCCCACTGAATTTCAGAGCCTTGTTCTAGCTGAGAAGCACTATCTGCAGGCAGAGGCCCCAGGAGGAGCAGCTGGGGCAGCCCAGCCTTTCACTTCTGCTTCCGCTGGAGGTTTATGTTATCGCTTGTATCACTGTGGGAGGGTACCTACTACCTTGTTGACAGTAATAAGTTGCAAAGTCTTCAGGCTAAAGGCTGCTGATGGTGAGAGTGTACTCTTCCCCAGATACACTGCCACTGAATCTGGATGGGACCCCGGTTTGCAAGCTGTTTGCCCAATAAATCAAAAGTTTAGGACCTTTCCTTGGTTTCTGCTGATACCAATGTAAATTAGTACCAATGCCCTGACTGGCTCTGCAAGTGATGGAGACTCTGTCTCCTACTGACGCGGACAAGTAGGATGGAGACTGAGTCATTAGGATGTCACATCTGGAACCTGATATTGGAAACAAAAGACAAATATCAACACAATTAATTTTGCTCTGAGACCGTTCATGAAGAATGAGGCAACACTGTTAACACTGGGCTGAGTAAATTCCTAGCATCTCCTTGCTTACCTGGGAGCCAGAGCAGCAGGAGCCCCAGGAGCTGAGCAGGGGCCTTCATGTCCATGCTGTATGCTGACTGCAACTGACTCCTGCACAGAGTGTGAGCAGACTATAAAGAAATTCTTGGCGCAGTAGACTGTGCTCTAGGCACATGCAAATCCTCAAGCAGTGGGCAGAGCTGCAGGCCTGGCCCAGATGCAGGCTGGCTGAAAGGCCTGTCAAAGCCCAGAACTAAAGTCACCAGGGGTGGAGTCTCTAGAGACCTGCACAGAACAAATTTGTCTTCAGAAAATGTTTTTAAAGGAGGGTGTGACAATGATCAATAGAAAATGGACTCATTACCTTACTCATGTAACTGTAACTCCTCTGTACAATAGCTTTACAATAAAATATATATTAAAAGAAAATGAAGGGACAGTGTTACTGGAAAAGAAGGGGACCTTTGTGGAACGGTGGCCCTTAGTCTCCATCCCCCTGCCCCACTCCAGACAACTTCTTTTTTCTTACTGAAGAAACAACCACTGACCTCCCCATTGACTCATCCGATACCAGTTCCCAATGTATCTAGCTCTTTGTTCTTTGTGAGCATTAAACCTGACTCCTGATGGCAATGAGTCTGAAGCTTCCTCTCTCCACCTAGTGGAGGAGCCTGACCCATCCTGAAGGCCTGGCTCAACTCCCTAACTCCACCTCTGAAATAGGTTAAGATCTCTCCTGCCCTAAACCTCGATTTTAACTGCTTGTACAAGGATGTCTGTCATATTAGTGAAGTGAAACATTTTTAAATGTTAAATAAACTTTAGTGCCTGTAAAAAAATTAAGGAAAGAAAAGAAAATGAAAATCTATGCATTTATACAAAAAGAAGAAAATATTTTTCCTTGGAAACCTAAGGCAGATTGACTCTATTGTTCTCCACTGCTCTTTTTTTTAAAGTGCATTTTAATTTTGACATAATCCATGCTATGTTTTTTTTTCTTTTTTTCTTCTTTTTCCCCGGTTGGTTGTGGGGCCTGAACTCTGGGCCTGGGAACTGTCCCTCAGCTCTTCAGCTCAAGGCAAGCACTCTACCACTTGAGCCACAGCACCACATTTGTTGCTGGGGAATTGAACCCAGGACCTCATGCATACAAGGCAAGCACTCTACCACGGAGCCACCCTCCCAGGCCCATGCTATGGTTTTCATGACAGCTTTTTATATAATTTAGTCACTCAGAAAAAAATTAAACAGTTTTACAATAAAAATATAGAAGACTGCTGCTTTGTTAGTAGATATTATGATGCCAGATTCCCAGAGTTTTCACTGTTTCCCTGTCCTATTCCAAAGAATAATCATAATCAGTATTACCCAGAAATTGATACGTGATAACACCAATCATAGGTAGGTAGGTAGTTGGCTAGGTAGAAGTAGACAGATAGAAATGTACATATGTAGGGAAGTAGAAAAAAGAAAAAAATAGAAATTTAAGGAAAGAATAAAAGCAAGGAAGCAAGGAAGGAAAGAAAATCCAGAAAGCTGCCTAGGTAGCTAGGTGGCTTAAATTTTACTTTAAAAATACTATGCAAAAACAAAATTGATGCAATAAAAAATCATGATCTGCAAAGTATAGACCATCCCCTGGTCTTTGCATTGGTGCCCTGCACACTCCTGATAAATGATTGTTTTTCTGCTCTGGTAAATGCTCTTTCCCAATGCCTCCCTCCAGGACAGTTCATATAAGCTCCCCTAACCACCCCCAGCTTCTACTAAGGAAAGAATTTGATGCTATTTCTACCTTAGTGAGCATTACACATTTCTACACCAGACATTTCCTAAGCTTTTGGGTGTCATATATGTCCTATCTTTATTATCTGAACCTGAGGCCCCTCAGAAGCTGAGGTGTTCTCTAAATCATGGACTCATATCTACTTCAGTGTACTCCATTTCACACATCTGTGTGTTCGTACATCATCCATTTTGTCTACTGTCTAAGTGAAGGTGTCTACTAAGTGATAGTGTTTTTAATGACTGAGTTTAGGGATCATGACTCAAATAAGCACGGAAAGGGTAAAATGCAACATGCCCAAGGATGAGGACTAGGAACTGGAATTAAAAATATAGAGTGGACATCTTCATACAGTGAGGACAAAGACCGCAGACTGTGAAGTTAGAGTAAGTGCGGAGGTCTTCACACATGAGGATCAATCCATACTACACCTAAGCAAGAACATAAAGTGAGTGGCCTTTGTGAAAACTTTTGTTTACAATGGGCTGAAAACTCTGTGACAATGCATTAAATGGGAGAAGCCTAAGAAAAAGAAACATTTGTGTTAGGTGTACTCTTAAAGGTAGCTGTGATACAAAACAATGTGTGTTTGCACTTCCATCCTTTTTCATGACATAAGAGCCTATAAATCCCTTGGAACTTTGGGGAGGGGAAAGAGGAGAAAGGATAGAGAAAGAGAGAGAGAGAGAGAGAGAGAGAGAGAGAGAGAGAGAGAGAGAGAGAGAGAGAGAGAGAGACAGAGAGAGAGAGACAGAGACAGAGAGAGAGACAGAGACAGACAGAGACAGACAGACAGAGACAGAGAGAGAGAAGCCCAAGTCTGGATTTGAATAAACCCTAAAATCCAATGATCTTTGTTATACGGTGCTCATATATTACATGCCACCCTCTGTAAAACTTCTCTCCATGATGTGAAGCACAGGTAATTTCCAATGTGGATAGATAACCACTCAGAAGATGGAGATCTGAGGATCAAAGTGCAATGCCAGCTCAGACAGAAACCTCTGTGAGACTCTTACCTCCAATTAACCACCAAAAGACAGCAGTAGAAATGTGGCTCAAGCACTACAGCTCAGGGACAGCATCCAGGCCTTAAGTTCAAAGGCCTGGACAGCACAGAAAAAGGGGTAAGAATATCCAAAGACCAAGTTAGGAGCAGCCGGAACAGTCTTCAATATCATTAAATATGTCTGTCAATATCATTAAATTGAATGCTCTATGAGATCTTTGATTTTCTTTTATGTGCTCAAGATTTCAGGGTTGGTGATAGTCCCTGATACTATTAGTTTATAACAGTAATTTCTTTGTGTTTGGGGTAGGAGTAAATGAACAACTGCCCAATAGTTTTAGATCTGTAGCTGTTTTACTTATTACCATCAGGTGGGGCTGTGGAGCCTTCAATGTGTCAATGACAGAGATGTGGGAGCACTTGACATGGGAGAGGAGAGACTGGCTGACCTGAGGAGCAGTGATAAAGCTCCTGAACATGTGGTGGGGATTCATAGTCTGCAATAATGCTTGAGCTGATGAAGATGTCACAAGCCTGCTTGATGTCTGGAGCTGCTTGTTTACTTAATAAAAGGAATTCAAACATGGATTTATGTAGGGAACTCTGGAGCTGAGCTGCGAGGCCTGGAAAGGGTTAACAAATTGGAAAGCCAGGGGCTGGGAAGGTGGCTCAGTGGTAGAGTGCTTGCCTTGCATGCAAGAGGCTCTGGGTTCGATTCCTCAGCACCACATAAGCACAAAGAAAAAGCCGGAAGTGGCACTGTGGCTCAAGTGGTAGAGCGCTCATCTTGAGCTGAAGAGCTGAGGGACAGTGCCCAGGCCCAGAGTTCAAGGCCCCACAACTGGACTCCCTCCCCCCCAAAAAAAAGAAATTGGAAAGCCATCTCAACAGTAACCAGAAGGCTGAAAGCTGGGCCCTGGAAATATCAAATAGTCAAGGCAAAACAGAGGTTCAAGTTTCTACCCTGTGGCTGAGTGTGCATCCAAAGTTTAAGGCCTTGGAGGTAAGATAAAAGTCTATGCTATTGTTGGAATGCTTATTGCTTCCCTCAGCTTCATAAGATAAGGGACTCCATTATCACTTGTATGCAAATTATCCATAGTGGTTATAACTTCAAAGATATTCATACCCTAGTATCAATACTGAACTAAATTAAAATATTTGTTACTGAGATCTCAGCTCTGGATCCCCTGCTCTCTCCTTTTGTAGTTTCTCTCTTTTCTCTTTCATTGGCCAGGTATCCTGTCATCTTGGTGATCCTGGTTGTGGTTAGCAACAAGTGGCACCCAACATGGGGCTTGAATAACAAGTGAAATCAAGGTTTTGGAAGAGTCAACAGAAGAACCCTCAGGAGCTCCTGCACTAGCACCACACTTCAGGATTGTCAGGGTAATAATGGGGCAAGCTAGAAGCAAAAGGGCTGAGTATTTTAAGTCAACAAAGATGCTGCTGGTAGCCTCAGGAGCAAAAGTAAAGAGAAAAGACTGAGGACTTAGCCTTTTATGTCAAGAAATATAGTCATCGGTTGCCTCCACAAGGAATGCTTCAAATTTGGTGATGGAAGGAGGTTGTGAGGCCATTTGAAATGGCTCATAACCAGGGGAAAATAATCCCATTGGGAAGGAAGGGATGGTAGAGGAAAAACAAAGGAGGAGATAACAATGCTTGATAGGAAACGTACTTATTACCTTGCTCATATAACTGTACCCTCTGTACAGTATTTTACAATAAAAAAACATAAAAACTGATTTTTATGCAATAATTACAATGATGTTTCAGCCTTTTCAAACTCCTCCACAATCAGAGTGTAGGTCTGTATTGGAAGCTCTTATGTAGAAAAAGGAAACCTGCTTGAAGCCTAACAAGTATTTGTAATTCAAAATGTCCTGGAATGAGGAAGCCCATAGCCAAACCTTTAGAAAAAAGCATGTCTAGCCCCCATACAAATTGGGGCTGCCCCACTTAGGAGGAAGCGAGCTTGGCTGAACATGGCTCAACAGTTACAGTATGATGATCAAGCTATTAATCAGGAACACAGGGCAAGAGAAAAGATAACACAGCCAGGATAAGTGACTATCTCTTCAGTAGAAATCAGGCATGGAGGCCCAGCACCTTATGTTATTTTATAGCCAGGTTGAGACAATCTTCATAAAACTGTACAACAAGCTGAGTTAATAGAATTACTTCTCCAAATGCTTGCCTTTGATAATACTAATTCAGAGTGTCAGAATGCTTGGACCTAATCAGGGCCACAAATGCCAACCTTGCAGATTAAAAGGAATTGTTCAGAATATAAAAACTCCAAACAAATTCAGATCCTTGTATAAGTTAAATAAACTTCTTGGTATAGGATGGAGGTTGACAGACCCTTCTATAGATTTCTATTGCATTCTTAAAATAAGGCCATGTGCCTTTCTTTCTCTATTTCTCTTTCCAGGTCCTGGAGACTGAAGCCCATCTAGGAAATATTTAAAAA